ATAGCCTGGAGGAAGAGAATGACAAATGGACCAACATAAAAAACTTGCCACTTCGGCTGATGGATGGACAAAGTTAAAGGATGACCAGAATTACACAAGAAGAAGCCTACATAAATGAAGAGATCTGCTCTGAGGGCAATGAGCCAGATAAATTCAACATGTGAAGATGAAGGGATGACAACCCTATGTGAAAAAGAGACATGCAAGGTTGGAGTAAGAAAAAGGGTGATGAGACAGAAAAAAAGGGAGCCAGAATGCCAAGTGACAAAGGAGAGGAAACTAGGTGTGTGTAGACTACAGAGGTACCACCAACAGGATCCAACAAGAAGTGTCAATATCAAGGTGAAAACACAAGAGACAAGATGAAGAGAAGGGTAGGTAAACAGTAAAAGGTGAAACCAGTCCTGGCTGACAGCATCTGACTGCCAGAGCCAAAGGAAGAGGAACTGTAGACCTGAAATGTGGAAGACTGGCATTGAGATAAGTGGCAAAGGCAATCATGAGAGGTGTGCCCAACTTAAAAGCAAACCCAATGAAAACCTGAAGATGGAAAGACCACTACATGGGTAGAATCCAGTCTGGCTGAGACAGGCAATCTGCCATCATGTTCAAAGCTCCTGGCACATGACAAGCTATAAGTGGACTGGATGGGAATGATCCCAAAACAGCAGGTCCAATGTATAGAAGCAAAGAGTCCTGGAACAAGTACCCCCTGATGGTTGATATAAGAAATGACCAAGGAATTGTCAGAGTGGATCACAACCAACTGATCCAAGAGAAGAGATAAGAAATTGGAACATGTCCAACAAACTGCAAGAAGTTGAGAATGTTGATGTGGAGTGAATGCTCCTCCAGAGCCCACATGTCCATATCGTTGGTCAAAGATGCACCCCAGCCTGACAGGGAAGCATCTGTGAAAAGATGGAGATACAGTCAGGGGCAGTAAAGGGTAAACCACTAGGGTAATGGCATGGTCAAGCCACCAAGAGAGTACTTGAGAAGAGAAGAAAGTAGATTCACAATCAAGAACGACGGATGCTGGAAATAGTTCCTATGGTCCTATGCAGCCCAAAGGAATGAGTAGTTTGAGAAAAATCAGAATTCCCAATGATAAAAAACCTATTGCTCAGGGTGTAAATGAGAATTGCAAGTCTTGGTGACTCAACCTTCCCTCACTCATAGGTAAACTGGTGAAGGCTGATCCTAACTGAGACAAGAGTTAAAGAACACTCCCAAATACTTGGTAAGCCTGAGAAAAGTCTTGGAAAGCTTGACTAGCCAAGCCCAGCCAAGCAGCCTCCTGTAGAAGAATGGAGATGTGGGAGGAGTCATCCCACAAAGGGGCAAGGAGAAGCCAATCATCCATGTAATAATGGAACCTCAGCCTTAGCCTGTGAATATGACAAGCAAATGCCCCCACAACTCGACAGAAAATGTAAGAATCAGATGCAATGCCAAAGGGAAGTGAAAGACTCTATTCTAGTGTACAAAACAAAACAAAATGTCTGGAGGATGGTAACCAGAATATCTAAAAAAAGCATCCAACACATTGGCCTTGGTCATTCACAGATGGGATGAAAAGGACCACTGTAGGAAAAAAAAACCCTCCATCTGGAACTGTTGAATAACTAGAAACTGGTTGAGAGACAACAGGTTGATAACTGGACACTAGTCCCCAGTCTTCTTGTGGACCACAAAGAAACAAGAATAATATCTCAAAGTAGAAGTAAGTACTCTCTCGATGGTGTTCTTGGCCAATAGATCCAAGACCCTATCCTCGAGATGCTGAAGATAAATGAGGTCTGAAGGAGGATGAAAGGAAACAGGAATATGGAAGAGGAGAGGAAGAGAAGGGAAGTGGAGAGAAAGGCTGTGGGTGAGGACCTAAAGAACCCATCTGTCAGCCCAAATTGGTGAAACAAGACAGATGGACACACACTGGATTAGACCTGACAGGACAGTCACTGATGAGACAAGAGACAACCCTGATGTTGGGAAGTAATAAAGCAGGAAGAAGAAGATTGAAAAGCTGGAAATGGTAGGGAAGACAAGGTTTGAGTTGGCCTAGAGGCTGGAACAAGGGCGACATTGAGAAAGGTGAAAAACAAAGGAAAACAATGATACTGGATCTATGCCACCTTAACCCAGGTTTCCAGAGTGTCAGGAACACCCCCAAATACCTATGGGTGAAGAAAAGGAGCCCAATGAAGACCACAGAGATAAGAGTGAGTCAGGTGAACATAGTCAGAAGAGCATCTCAATGTAACAAGTCCCAATTGCAGAGAATTCCAGTAAGGAAGGATAGAGCAGAAGAAATATTATGGGCCAAAGTGGTAAAAATGAAAAAAAGAACCTCTCCAGAAAACCCCATCTGGAGCACACTGTAGTGCCTCAGAAATTAGGTGAAGGGATAAGAGGTAATGTAGGAGGGTGGTAAGAAAAAGGCGAAGACAAGAACATTGGGCATTAGAAAGTGATCTAAATACATATAACCATGACAAGATTATGATGGATGGACAAAAGACCATGAAGGAAAAATAAGTTTTACAAGTTTGAATATTGTTTGAAGTCAAGGATTCTACCCCAAAGCAGGTAAGAGATTCTAAAAACTAGGAATCAAGAAAAGGAAAAGAAGAATAGCCATAAGCCATGACAAAAGAGTCAAGAAAGTGAGGAGGGCAAGACACGCAAATATGGGTATGCATTTGTCCAAGAAACAAGTCAGCATGAACCCTAACATCAAGCAAAGGAAGGAAGACAAAATAATTGTGAGAACGGATTTAGCGAAGTAAAGAATGGAAGAAATTGAAAGGCATAGGAGAAAGTAAAGAACATACCTGTGAAATCATATCAAGAAAAAGATTGTTAGGTAGAGGATTTTCTCTCACAGATACAGCAGTACCTAGAGTAAATTCTGATGGAGGAAACAGTTCATCAAAATCACCACCATCTTGGTCATCCTTGAACTCAGGAAAAGAGACATCAATCACATGGAAAGGAGGAAGAAGCCTAGTATGCATGAGGGAACCCACCACCCATTTAACAATGGTTGTTACATCCTCCACAGACAACAAGCCTCTTTAGACACAAGTCCCTTGTTAATAACTTTGTAACCATCACAGGACAGAGCAGAGGATACCTTCACTTGAGAATTCATAATGGGTAAGCAGAATAAAAAAATATTTTTTCTACTTCAGTAATAAGAAAAAATCAGTTAATCTGAATGAAATTAAGAGTCCTGTTCACAATAGCAAATCTCACGTAACTAAACAAATAAAAATAAACACATTCATTCCCAATAATGACAATGAAAATAAGTTATTTCAAGCACAAGTGTTCGAGGGAAGTTAATGCACAAGGAGGTTGTGTTGCCCTCCTATTGGTGGAGGACTATCATAACATATCATGCTAAACATGTAATTTTTAGGTTGGAGTTAGCTCAAGAGTAGTGGCATGCAAATCTCATAAGCAAACACACAAGGGATCAAGCTATTTGTGTCTCAGAATTTGTGAGGCTGAAAAATGCTTACAATAAAAAGTCTTAAGATTTTTATTTGGTGTAAAGGGCTTGAGCATGCTGTGACTACTATAAATCCTTGTTTTTTTATCTATTTTTTATTGATTGCTACATATTTTCTAACAAAAGTAACTAAAATGTAAAAAATGACAGACTTCTCAGCTTAACCTAACAAAACTTAAATAAAATAAAACATATGAAATTTCATTGAAACATGAAACTCAACCAAATCACATGCTAAGTGTTAGCTCTGAGGAAAACAGCTAGTGGACTCCTGCTGTAAAATTATTGCATTACCACAAGGATTACCTTGAGTGGGTACAAAGTACAGAAGTAAAAACCAAAATATTAAAAGAAAACAGATGTGAAATAGTTAACAGTTGAAACTGCTTACTTATAACAAGCTACAAATGTAACCAGTGTTATTTAAGGAAAGATTACTTTCATAAAAAAAAAACATTATGAAGAGTTCAAATTAATTATTTTTATTCACTCAAAAAAAATGTTGCCTGCTAAATAACTTGCTCATTTAAATTGTTTGTCAGAAATTACCACACATGGAATGATAATAGTTTAACAATATGCAACACCATTAAGCCAACCTATTTACATGAAGACTCCAGTTTAATTATTACTAACCCTAGCTGAACAGGAAGTACTGAAAATGGAGAGAAAAAAAAGTCTAGTTGTCATCATGTGCTGTTTAACCACTGCCTAGTGCAATAAGCTATTGTTTGAATTGTTGGTTTCTCAACATACATGTGGGTTTCTACAGTTTCTTCTAGCTTGTGTTCTTTCTAAACTACGTTTTTTATGCTGATGGTGGAATCTGAGAACATTTGAAATATCAGTAATTAAAAACCTTTTTAGTATTCGTGTTTTTTTTTTATATTATAAAACACTGATTACATCCCCTATGACTCTTTATGAATAATTTTAATCTCTACAAATAGATCATCTAGTACCATCACAAATTTTCTTGTCAAACAGTAAATGTTTTTTACTCTCTTTGTTTTTCTGGGATTGAGATGAATTTGTTTTCACTGAATTATATATTAGCTCACACACTGTGATAAGAAGAATCTTTACTAGTTTTATCACATTAAATCTAAGGACAATTATTTTTAACAAAAAACTACTTTACTTATAGTAGTCTTGTGAAAACTTGTATTTGTAAGGAGTAAAAAGATGCAACAAAATACCACTATATAAAGCCTAGTATTATTCTTTAAATTTGCTCTTGTCCAGAGTGACTTATGAGAGCTGGAATTCCCCAAATAAATATAAATCAGTAATACTAATAAGTGTTAACTGGACTTTCCAATTATTTTGAGTACAGTAAGATTTAGTTGATCCTTCTCCTTAACAAAACATAAGCCTTCATAAGGCTCCAACTGACCAAGTCAGAATTTCCGATAGCTTAAACAAAAATATTTCTAATATAGCAAACACAATCTTCACCGAAAAAAAAATCATAATTTACCTCCAACAACAACTAGTTTATATTCAGTCATGTTTCTGTAGAGGGCACTGTCAACGTCGGTCCCGTAAACCACCTTGCCCAACTTGTGCCAGTTACGTGAAATTTCTTATGCCTGAAGTTGCTTGGCAGTGTCAACTACGTTCAAAATCGGATGGTTGGCCCGAGAATAATCATCCCACACACGCACACACTTGACCGACGCCTCGACCGGTTTGTCGAAGACTAAACGTAAAAGTATCACTTAAATGTAAAACCAATGCCTAATTAAATTTTTAGTTAGAAAGATAATACTTTGAAATTTAAACAAAATTAAAAATCAAGCCAAAAAATACATAAAATAGTCTTTCCTTGTTTCTTGAATTAAACTCTTAACGTAGAGTTACACTACACAATCCCCACCACCAACACCTTGCCATTAGGCAATGCACTGTAGCGCCACTTTATATGAAGATCTTATTACACAAGGTTTTAAGAACTTATATTGAAACTGCGATATTAAAAGACAGGAAGATGATTGATATTTGTAAGCTTTGGCTGAAGGCTTATGAGAGAAATGGCATTACTGAAATCAGAAAAAATGTTGAGACTGTTTGAATTGAAGTTTCTGAAGAAAAAAAAACAATTCAACAAGGAGGTTTATTTGCAATTCCTACAGCCCTTCGAAAGATTTCTTTGACACTAATGGGAGCATGGGTAGACAAATTAATTCAACTGCTAATAGCAGCAGACTTATGGCTATAAGATATTTGACTTTAAAAAATTGATTAAATTAGAGTATTTTCTCTGCATGATACTGGAAAATGTTATAAGTATGAGGTAGATTATTTCTAATTCAACACGTGTAAGATTTTAATTCAAAACATTATATTGCCATTTTTTCTTAATACCGATATAATTAAAAATTTAGTTGCTAAAGAGCACTTGAGGGTGAAAGTTATTATTATAATTTTTTATGTTTGATATTTTTATTCAGTATGTTGTAGGTTAATAAGAGTAGTATTTCATATTGGGAGAGTGAATTTTCTTATTCTGCAAGGTGTATTAAGAGAGAGAGTTGATGGTTAATTCAAATGGGAAAAATGTAATGGAGCCAGAGATATTTTAGTCAGTTTAATCAAGCTAATTCAAATTAGAAAATTTTCGTTCAAAATATTATGTTTTTTCTAAAAAGTTGTCAGTTTGTCAAAAACGCCTAACTTTAAAAACATTGTCTAGTAGAATGGAAGATGCTGAAGTTTAGAGAAATAAACAAGAAAAACTCAAGAAAGCTAGTGATAAGGATAAAGTAGGCTATATAAATATTTTGGCTGAAAAGCATAAACAATTTGGTTTGATAAGTTCTTAACTTTTCGCTATCAATTTGCAAAACAGCTTTGCAGCAGTTATATAACTCGCGGATAGCGAAAGAGTTAAAATCTTATAGGAGCAGCAGCAAACAGAAAAAAGGGTAGCGAGCACCTGTATCGTACTGCCATCTATTAAAAAAATCATGATTCTTGAAATCCTATATTCTTCGAATAGTTTACTGTGTTACGACAGCGGAAGTCACGTGACGCTGGTAACACTTCATGAGTTTCTAGAAGGATCATGACTGTTCCTGGCAACTCTAGTGTTTACCAGACGCCTGCTATTTTGATATATAAGCCCGGCAAATAAAGGAGAGATAATTGCAGACAGAGAGATATACAGCCAGATAATCGAGTCAAGCCGTAAGTAAAATGTGTGAATCGTTATGAATTCTAGCGTGTGTTTAAGTTAAAGTGACTGTGGAAATTAAGTGTGTTACAAAGTTGTATTGAGAAAGAATAAACGAGTTTTATTTAAGAAAGTACTTCTATCGCTGAAGTTTTTCGGAAAAAATTTCTATGGAAAATTAACCAACGAACACAGAGGCATAACAACTGCTTATCTAGATGAGGATTTGATGTATCTGGATTTTCAGTAAGTATTTGACAAGATGCTACATGAGAGGTTTGTTCAGAAATTTCCTCTGTAGGTATGGAGAATAGGTTGACTCATTGGATAGGAAACTGGATGGATAGAAGAAAGCATAGGGTTGTTATTAATAGAGTTTGGTCAAACTGGAATAATATCACAAGTGGAGTACCTCAATGATATCCAGGATTGAAAGGTTGTCATACAAGGACAGGTTAAGATCTTTGCATTTGTTTTCTTTTTTGAAAAAAAAAGAAGATATAGAGGGGATCCGATTGAGGTGTTTAACATTCTTTAGGGAATTTGGTAGGACTAGGAGACACAAATATAAATTTTGGTAGGGTAAATGTCATCGTCAGCTACGAATGCTTTAATTTTCTAACAGAATGGTTGGCTTTTGAAATAGAATATCCTTAACTGTGTTGAATGCAGTTAAATTAAGGGAGTTTAGAGGAAAGCTTGATAAATAATTGAATGATAAGGATTGGCTTTGAGTGTTTTATTTTTATTTTAAATATTGAGCAATCAGCCTTCACATAGTTATCCAACTGGGGAGCGCTGGCAATCAACTGGATTATATCCTTTGTTAATTTGTTTGTTGTAGTAGTACTAGCAGTTGTGGTATAGAGCGAAAATTCACAATTTAAATAAGTAATAAAATGCTAAGTACTGTATCATTTATATTATTTGCCATGCTTCTCCAAGATCAACCAAAAAAGTGACTGAAATCTTCGATTCAAGTTTCAAGTAGTCGGACTAAGGGAGGCCAACTGCACCAATGAATAACTGTGAACTGGAACTAGCCAGTGAAAGTGAAGTAATAGTATGCTAAATATTATGTAATTTTAGATAGTGTATTGTACCAAAAAGAATATAAACATGACTAGCATAAAAGCCTGTCAAAAATGACAAGAAACCATAGCCTACCAAATTTGAATCCTCCAATATGCATTTGTAACTATGTCGCCCGCAAACAGACATAAGAAAAATAAAGGACCTTCTACTTTCGGAATACCAAAGCCTATCCTGAGCAATATCTCCTTTACCTAAAGTGTGTTTCATCCCACCATCGATCCTTTTCCTAGCATTCGCTGATCACAGTTATTTTCTAATCACAACAATTGCATTATTTCAATAGTTCTTTTAAAATAACATTCCTTGTAAATACTCGATTATCGTTCAAAAGCTTCTCTTCATTAGAAACGACAAATTAATTTCACTCAATGCTAAATAAATCCTTGGTTTTAAAACTCCCTCCTTAATAAGCTTTTTTTTATACTGTTACGTCTCCGATTGTTAATTAAATTTCCGTAACTTCCTTCCGACGAAACTTTAGCGACAAAAGTCCTTACTTAATAAAACTGGTTTACTCTTTCATAACATAACTTTACGATACATTTAATTTCAACATTCGCGCTAAAACAAACACTATAACGAAAGAACGTTAACTTCAACAATACCCCGTGACTGCAGATCAATTACTCACTACCTACACAATGTCCCGCCACGCTGTCACCATCCTATATATACCAGACTACCCCCCAATCTAGGAAGGTTCGAGAAAGAAGTGGCGTGACACTAGTCACGTGACCTCGCTGACGCAGCACTGCCCCTCCTTGGTATTGTTCGTCCCGAACAATAGCTACTTACAATAAACCAATAACAATTAACAATAACTTAATTAAATGTACAGAATTACAAACACAAAATTACAATTCAACAAAGTCTCTTAATTTGACGGGACCTATCTTCTTCCGTACTGGTCTCCGTCTCGTTGGCTTCTGCTTCACGTGGGGTTCATCTGCTTCATCAGGAAATGTCCTGTCGTCGATAATAACGACATCAGTGGTAGTAACTTCATCAAGTGCTTCACCGTTTCCATTCTCAAAACTGAGTAGAGTTTCTTCTTCGACGATGGCTTCTTCAGGTGGCACGTCTTCAGCAGCGTCATTTGTTCTGTTTTCCACTTCGTCCCAACTGAAATGTCCTGGACCATGATAACGCCAAAGCCTGTTGGCATGCACCACTTTTGGCTTACCTCGCCGACCACATTTTATCCGGAAAGTAACGTCTGAGAGACGATCCACTATGTCACCTTGGGCTTTCCCATGGAGAAGACAACTTAGGAGACTTCCCTTTGGTCTTCCTGGGATTATACAACCATACCTTGTCTCCTGGTACAAAGCTGACTTCAGTAGATCTCTTATCATAAGTTAACTTCATCGAATCAGCAGGCGTTTTCAAGTTTGAACACACTTGATGGTGGATGTCATCCATCATTTCCGATAACACTTTCACAAACTCTGACACATTCTCAGGCAACTCTTCATAAGGTGGGCGTCCTATTAACAGATCCACTGGCAACCGAAGTTCCCGACCAAACATCAACTTTGCTGGAGTGTATCCAGTGGTTTCATGCTCTGCTGTCCTATAGTAAGACATCCCAGTCATCTTGGTGGCTATTACAAAACTTTGCCAATTCCTGTCCCAATGTCCAGTTGTACTTTTCTACCATACCATCCCAGTGGCGTTGTTCTGGTCTTTCGGATGCCAAACA